TATTTTAACTTAATTGCAATAGTTCATACTCTCAGCAGCTATGTGGGAGACTGCACCCCCACAAATACTAGCTATTAGCTTTTAAAAATTGACAAATTGATAAGTGAAAAACTGTTATGTGACTGCTTACGCTTTGAATTTTAGTGAGGTAAAATCGTTTTTACCGCTGTGCTCCTTGGCAGTTTATAATTTTTCCTCTGTGAAGTGTCTGTTCTTCCCCACCCCCATTTTCTCTGTTGAGCAGTACTGATCAAAGATACCAGGTCAGCTGTCTTTGAGTAGGGAACAGACTATCAGAAGTCACAGTTGCAGATAATCCCTGGATCAGATAGCAGTTTGAGGGATGGGAGAGAGAAGCTGTAGCACTGCCCTCAGGTGGGTGCCTATCCTTGCCAATAGCCCCAGGTTAGGGGGATAGTTCATCTGCTTCCAGTCTATCAAGAGCAGCTTGTGTTGTGGGAAGACTGTGGGCTTGAGCTGCAAGAATAAATCTCATTTTACCCGCTGCTACCTGTGAGACATCCTGTGCATGGACTCAACCTTGGAGCCTCAGCTTCCTTGTATGGATCTGGGGATGTTTGAGAAGTTAATGTGATTAGGTACATCAATATCACATCACGTACACAGCAGATAATAAATGTTTGGTGCACTTCCCTCCCCTCTGCCATCTCCACTGTGTCCTCTGTAAACCAGAGAACAGTGATACGTTCAGGCAGGCGGGGATCTGTAATAGGGCTAGTACCATTGACTGTTGTACAAAATATAACCCGTTTCAGGGAACAATATAATTTCTCTAAGAAACTATTGTATCTGACTGCTCTGTTAGACTTCTTCAAGGACCTGTATGAGTATTTGAGCCACAGAGGGTGGGGAGGACCACATTGGTGGCTATCTAGATATGTTAAAAGCCTCAGCCAGAATCCTGGAGGGAAGTGGTTAAGAGCTGGAGGTCTGGGTGCAGATATGATTCAGAATTATGTAAGGGCCCTGGGCATCAGTTTCCTCAAGTATAAAATGAAAGTAAAAATAGCATCTACCTTAGGGTGTTGTGAGGGTTAAGTACTATGTGTAAAATTATTAAGATAGTACCTGGAGCAGAGGAAAAGAGATGTGCAACAAATGTGTGAGCAAGAAGAAACTATTCTGTAGTTTAGTTAAAAGGTGAAAATGCTTAGACAAGCTTCTTTGACCAAAAGATTGGAAATCACTGAGGTGGGGGAGAATCATTTTTGCCCTATCCCATCTCCTTAAGGCTAGGAATGAACTGCGCAAAGGGGTCCAGATGAAAGAGATCCCCTCGTTCCAACTCTCGTAATCAGCTGAGAGGGCGTGGCGCTGTCATGCTGGAAACGGTGGTGAGGGCCAGGAAAAGGGTCCAGTGTTATTCATGGAAAGTACAATTCTCCGCATCATTGCATATGTGCTTGTAAACCTGGGGATCTTGTTAAAATGTAGATTGTGACGTAAGAACCACCGCGTGGGGGAGGGCGTGTGTGGATCTTGTTAAAATGTAGATTCTGATTCAAGATATCTGGGGTGGAAAGGCAAATTCTTAGCAGGGGATTGAACTGGAACAAACTGGTTTGAAGCCCTGGTTCCACCAGATCCTAAATAGGTGATAGAGTTTTGGACCCTGGAATCAGAGACCGGGGGTTTCACAGGTTCCTGTAACCTCCATCTTACAGGTGTCAGTAAGCAGGAGATTTAGGTAACTTCTGTTTAGTATCGCGCAATTCAGCTGTCAGTTTAAACCTGGCCCTGCTGTGGCCTTTACTTTCCATATGATACTTACAGGCTATCACACATGTCACGCCTGCTTCCTGTGCATTCGACAATCTCAAGATTACTGTTTAGAAACAAGTACTTCAGCATCGTTGTCTTAGTAGAAATAATACACTTGAACAAGAAAAATACTATATTTATTGGGCAGCAGACACACTTGCCCACTCCACCACACACCAGCCCTGTGTATTAGAGACAGTCAGCAAGTAACCACTGGCCACATTAGCAGAGAAAACAAAACCTGCTTGCGTAGCGGATTGAGTGATTATACAACTATTAGTTTAGGAGCGTTTAAAGCCACGAATTTGGTCTCAAATAGTTTTAGGGGGTGGGGAAGGACATCTTGTTCCCAGAAGTGTTTATAAATAATCTGCTGATATTTTTACAAAAACTTTATCAATTTCCTAGATGGATGTTGCCAAGATCCCCCTCTGTTATCTGTGATGCTATTAATAGCACAAAAGAAACCAAACTTTATTAAGTCTAGCAGGCTTTCCAAGGCATGTTTTATTTCCCAGTTAAACTAATATTTAGAGGTTCAAAAATGTGAAGCTTTGTTACTATCAGCAGCATTTTTCATCCTTTTCCTTTTTTTTAAAAAAAAAAAAACCTCAATGCCTTTCCTGAAGGAGATATTTTAACATTTGATTTTTTAAATTAAATTTCCATGTTTTTGTAAAAGTAGACCATTAAAGTTACTAATTTAATAAACCAAAGGAAGAAAATATTAGTAAAATAGACGAGTGTTTTGAGTAGCCCCTGTCATCTTTATGTAACATTTAGGCGGTTCCTGGCACGTAACACATTAGCGATGTACAGATCAGACACGGAGCAGTCCGCGTGGGACACCGCCCCCCTCCAACTGCCCCGGGCCTGGCAGCCCTCTGTAAAATTTTGTCTCACTCCCCCCTGGGCTCCAGAGCCTCCTACCTTGTAAGTGTGTTCCCGTTCCTAGCTGCAGCTTTGGTGGTGCTGAACCATGGGGAGAAGGGGGCATGTTCCCCTCTCTTCGGGGGTGAGGTGGGGCACAGCCAAAGGGAAGTAGATGGGAGCTTCTCAGCTTCAGAACATGGGGCTTGCAAAGGAGTGGTGTGTGTTGAGACAGCCTCTAAATGGGATGTTTCTTTTCAGGTGGTGATAAATGGAGGTGCCACATCCAGCGGTGAACAGGACAATGAAGACACCGAGCTCATGGCAATCTACACTACAGAAAATGGCATCGCAGAAAAGGTACCCCCTTCCATCTCTGCGCCTCCAGCCACCCCACGCTGCTGCCTTAGAGCCTGTACTGGGAAACAGGCGTCCTTCATTTGGGGCTTTGTCTCTATCCTCCTGAGTGGGTGTGTGTCTGTGAGGGTGTGTTCTCTTCTAATGGAAATAGAAGGAGTGACAAATAGAAGTTACTAGTTTTTAATTACCTCATTGGCAGTTAAGGTGGAAATTATCTAGATATTTAAAAAATCCTTAGCTGGGGGTCTCAGAGGGAAGTGGTTAAGAGCTTGAGGTCTAAAGTGAGGTCTGGGTGCAGGTATGACTCAGATCCTGAGGGAATTACTTAAGCTCTGAGGGCAACAGTTTCCTTATCTATAAAATGGAAATAAAAATAGCAGCATCTATCTATGTTTGTTTTTAGGATAGGATGAAATAGCACGTATAAACTCCCTGGCACTGTGCCTGATACACACAGATGTGCAGTAAATAAGGCAATAAAGGAAACCAGTAAGTAGTTTATTTAGATTGTGAAAATGCTTGGACAAGACTCTTTAACTAAAGTAATGGAAATCACACCCTGAGGTGAGGAAGAATCTTTTGTTGCCTCACCTCATCTCCTTGAAGGGTCAGTCTGTGTGGCCATTTTTATGAAACCAGAGCTGCTCAAAAGAGGCCAGATGCCTTGTTTTCTTTTTTTCTTTGTATGTGCTGCTGTGCCTGACATACAGGGAAAGTTTGATAATATGACATTTCCTGATTGTACTGCAACCCTAAGATCCCTCAATTTTATTTGAGTTTTATTTAACAAACCTTTAAAATAAATTTTACTTTTACTGTGAAAGTTTACTAATTTAAACAACTTATACAGTGAAACCTGTGAGAGTCGGAACTCAGTGAGACTGCCTTGTTTTTCTGGGTCTTGCAGGTTTTCCGCCTTTGACAGGGTACAGTCTTAACCACTTTTCTGTTGCTTGTTTTAGTGGAAAATATTTGAGTTTTCCTTCTCTGACAGGTTTCCACCTTACACAGGTTCCAGCTCTCACAGGTTTTATTGTATAATGAGACATTATATTCTAGAACCACTGTTTGATAAATTGTACTGTGTATTCTCAGAACACTAATAAGTTGATAAATACAAATACAGTACCCAAGTTAGGTATTAGGGCTGTAAGTTTACAGTGTAATCAGTAAAATGATAAAGACCAAAGAAATTATATTGACATTCCTGAATAATCAAATTTCTGTGTTTTTTGTTGTCGTTGGGGTAGTGAGGGTGATGGTGGTGCTTTGTTGTTTTTAACTACATTTCCAGACTGGGAGATGGAAATTTAATTTTGGCTCTCTTGACCTATATTGCTATTCTTTTCCTGCTGCTTGGTGCTATTATAAATTTTGGGTAGGCTAATTAAAGTAGGCTCATGCCGCGGGACTAACACTCATGCTGTGTTAGATTCCAGGCTGCTCTGCAGAGCAGGGAGCCGTAGAGCAGCAGAGGGCTGATGTGTGGACTGTTGACGATGCCTACAGTTTGCAGGTGATCCTCACACAGACTGGGCCCGCATCATGGGATGTGGGCCCCACTTGGCCTGACTGAGTCTCAGCTTTCACATGGCATAGTTTGTAGCAAAGCTCTTCTCCACAGACTTGTCAGGACCACACCTGATTCTGGGGAACTAGGTCTTTAATCCCAGAGTCATCAGAGTCCCAGGATACCGAGTTCCTGCTCTTGTTACCCAGGAGATAATGGTTGTAAGGTACATTAACACTTTGGGGCTTTCTGACCTCTGTGGATGTACCTTTTACTGATAGTGATGTGTTTGCAGGAAAAGACGTCTACTGCTTTTATGCTAGATATGTATTTACCTGCTTGAGTAAAAAATTGTGTCATTGTCTTAATATTGATTCATTTGCATTTCCTCAAATACTAATGAGATAAAATATCTTCATGTTTTCCTGGCCATTTTTCTTGTGCTATGATACGATGAGTATAATGAGAAAAGCTGCCATGTGTTGAATGGTGTGGTTGCAGACCAGACCCTGCGCTGAATGCTTTATGCAGTCTGTCACATTTAATTCTCACAATAACCTGATTAGAAAATTACTATCACTACCCCTGTTTTAAAGATGAGAAAAAATGAATTTTTTTAGGTCCTATCCTGTCTTGAATTTGTGCAGTGAAAACTTCACACCAGCGGATGCTGCTCTTCGGGATCGTGCTTTTCAGCTGACATTGAAAGGCTCTCTCCCACAGCACCTGACCATCAAATAAGCATGGGACATTCAGAGACGAGACTGGGGGCTAGAAGTACTATGTTCTCCCTGCTGGTGCTTATTTCCCTTATTACAATAAGCTGTTCACATCTTTGTGCTTGTAATATGCTTATTTTATTAAAAAATTGGCTTTTCTGGGGTCTGTTAATACTCTGGAACCCCTATTATGATACATGCTAGTTAATGTGACATTAGCTACAAGGTACCTATCTTAGAACTTCCCCGAAGGGATTTACTCCTGGAAGGACCAGAAGGAGAACGCCTTGAATCCTGAATTCGTAAGGTGGTGCTGTGACCCACGCCCAGTGTGTTCTGAGCCCTGACCTCAGCATCACTGGGATTTTAAATTAGGGATGTTAAGGGAAATTCAACTTCAGAGTGAGGGTATTTTAACAAAAGTGAATTAAATAATCAAGTAAAAGACTTAGATGCTCTCATTGAAATATACTGTTTTACAGATATCTCACAAAATTCGCTTGCAGAAGTCCTTGAAATGGTTGCAGTGGTACTGAGTATCATTATTAATCACAATTTCAGAAAATCGTTTGTTTCATGTAATTGCTAAAAAAGTATTTCTGTTTTGTTGTGGGAGTCATGTATGTAGCATGATGATAACGAGTGTAGCCCTCGGGGTCAGCCTGCTTGTGTTCAGGTCCTGGGCAAGCTACTACTCAGAGCCTCCAACTCCTCAACTGTAAAATGGGATCATAACAACATGTCCCAGGAACAAATGGTAGAGAGTGCACAATAGCATGAGGCTGGGATTGTAAACGTGGACGTTCTATTGGCAAATGTTTTGGTATGTATGTTTTCACTGCATTTTTAAAAAAATGAGGCTGTTAGGAAGCAGAGATTGCCATACTGTGAAAATAGTTGTATGGAAACTAGCTGTTAAGAGTCTCCACCTGAATATCCCACACTGCTGACCACTGGAGTCTTTTGCTGCCCAGTGTTTAAGCTGCAGAGTTACAGTTTTCACAAGGTTTGTTAAACATAAGATAAATTTTCATAATTTTGTGATTTACGTTTTAAGTTAAAACCTTTTTTCCCCCTCTAATTCATTTTTAAGTGGCTTTTTGTTGGGGCTTCTAACTATTCTTGAAAAATAAAGTTCTCTTGAACATCATATATGCTTAATAGTAAACAGTCCAAAAATATATGAGGAAAAAGTTTAAAATGTACCCTCTGTATTCTCACCAGATTGCTTCCAGTGACTGGCAATCTGGTATGTATCTTTCATACATTTTCTGTGTGTGCACGTGTGCACACACACACACACACACATATGCACACACACATATGCATCTATTATGCTACAACTTGTTTAGTTCCCTGTATACATAATGTGTCTTAGAAAGAAGTGCGGACAGAATGTTCCTTAGAAGCGAGGATGGCATGACTTCGTCTCATATACTTTGGACATGTTATCAGGAGGGACTGTCCCTGGAGAAGGACATCATGCTTGGTAAAGTAGAAGGTTAGCGGAAAAGAGGAAGACCCTCAACGAGATGGATTGACACAGTGGCTGCAGTGATGGGCTCAAACACAGCAACGATTGTGCGTGTGGTGTAGGACCGGGCAGTGTTTCACTGTGGTGTGCATAGTGTCGCTGTGAGTTGGGACCAGCTTGCAGGCACCTAACAACAACTACTTTCATAATGTACATCTCACCAGATCAAGAAATATTTTTGAGATTTCTTTTTATTTTTAAAAATTAAATGAATTTTACTTAACTTCTTAAATGGATAAGATATTTTCATGGTTTAAAAAATCAAAACATATAGAATAGTACATAGTTAAGCCTTTCTTCCACCCTGTCTCCTATCCATCCAGTCCCAACCTCCCCCATTAAAAAAAGAAAGAAAAAAGTAATCACTGTTACTAGTTTGTTGGATTTCTTTCCAGGGACTGTTTATGCATATACAAGCAAGTTTGAATGTATATTCTCCTTTCTCCTCTCCCTACTTTCCGCAAAGATTATGCACACTATTCTGCATCTTCATTTTTTTCACTTATCAATGTATCTTGAGATTTTTCCCCGTTGCTACATAAAGAGATTCATTCTCCCTCTTATTATTATTCTTTAAAAGTTGCATTGGGGCCGATTGTATGGATTCACTATAATGGTGTCCCACTGATGGGTATTTTATTGTTATTTTGCATCTTTTTGCTGTTATCAGTGCTATAGTGAATGACCTTCTACATAGGTCCTTTTCCACACACATAATTTTAAACCTAGAATAAATCCCAGGAAATAGAATTGCTGGAGGAAATGGTATATGCATATGTGATTTATCTAGATATTATCAAATTGTCCTCCGTGGAATTGTACTAGTTTGTTCTCCAGCTGAAGGTACAAGAGTACCTGTTTCTCCATATGTGTGCATAAAAGGTGTTATCAAACTTCAAGAGTTTTGCTAATACGTTAAGTGAACAATGCTGTCACAATATAATTTTTTAAAATGATGTTTAAATTTTTTATTATGAAATAATTTCACACTTAAAAGATCTGAAAATAGCATAAAGAGTTCCCAGATAATACAAAATATACATTAGCAATATGAAAGGAGATAGAATATCCAAAAGAATATTATGTGCAACTTTATGATAATCAGTTTGAAACCCTACAGCAGGGGTTGGCAAACTACAACCTTACAAGCCAAGTCTGGCTCACCGCATGTTTTTGTAAATAAAGTTTTGTTGGAACACAGTCACGCTCATTTGTTTACATATTGCTGTGGCTGCTTTCACTCTACGGTGGCAGAGTTGAGCAGCTGTGACAGAAACGTATGGCTTGCAAAGCCTAAAATATTTACCATATGGCTCTACAAAAAAAGTTGGCCAATTTCTGCCCTAGATGAGATGATTTTGTGGGGGAAAAAAGACTAAAATTGACCCCAGAAATGCTAGATTAGATAAACAACCATGGAAATAATTGGAAAGATTATTAAAGGTTATAAGAAGTCTCCAAGCAGAGAGCTGAGTTCTGAGTTCACTTTAATCTTTGAAGGGCAGGTAATTTGCTTGTTCTTTAGATTATGTCCGACCATTGCATAAGATAGAGAACTCTTTTTTAAATGATGTTATTAAACTGTTAATGCAGTTATCTTTTAAAGGAGTCTTGATGTTCGGAGGTTTTTGTTTTTGCATTTTTTTTCCATTGGAAAATGGCTTGTATAGTTCATGCAGTGAGAGCTCAGCACGGTGCCAACCGCAGTGCAGTCACCGCACCGGCATCCCGTCTGTCTCCAGGATCGGCAGTGTTGTCTGACAGGCTTGTTGATCTCCCTGACCACATGGCTCACTACTCTGTGTAATTTTAATACCACCTGCAGGCATTTGCACGTTTGTGTGCGTATGTGCACGTGTGTGTGTATGCACACCTTAATCTCAGCCTGTCCAGGCTGACAAAGGACAGATGCAAAGTCTTTACAGCTCTGTGCATCTGCTTTATTATAGTTAAAACTCACTGTTTTAACATTGTTTGAATACCGTAATATTGCCTTACAACATTATTGTAACACGTTGCTAATTGTAGTGTTACTGTACTCTGTCTTCAGGTCTTTCTGAGCAGACACACTGCTGACCTGTGAGATAATGTGATGATGTTGAATTGTCCTTTGTGTAGTGCACCTAGCATCCGTAGCTGCATATCAGCAAAACAGGCACCATATACCAAATTCCTCACCCGCAGACATACTTTCTCCACTGTTTCTGCCAGATTCAGCAAATCTATGAATATCCGTTGTTTGAATGGAAGATAAGTTCTCTCCGAAAGGTCATATTCAGTCCACACTTGGATTAGTTCAAATGTCAGCTTACATCAGACATTTACTTTTAGACTTAAAGGTGAGGCTAAACGATATCACTTCTTTACTTAAGGGTGTTTGGCCCCCAAATCCCAGTTCCCTGTGCATTGAAAATGAAGTGACAAACAGATGGGATCAGCATCTTCCTATGGACCAAGTCCATCAGACGAGAGGGCACAGATTGGACTAGTTGTGTTTAAGGGTCAGGATGTCATCATCTTTATTGTTTTTGTGAAACAGCTTTTAATTTTGTTTCCTGCTGTGGTTAGGTGCCATCGAGTTGGTTCCAACTCATAGCCACCCTGTGTACAACAGAACAAAACACTGCCTGGTTCTGTGCCATCCTCAGAGTCTTTGCTATGCTTGAGCCCATTGTTGCAGCCACTGTGTTAATCCGTCTCTTTGAGTGTCTTTCTCTTTTTTGCTGACCCTCTAGGTTATAAAAGATTTTAGAAAGACGCATGTCTCAGATTCTGAGGAACGTAAGAACTTGTTCATAGGGTTTTAGGACCAGAGAAGGTGTGAGGCTAAACTGGACACTTGGGGTACCTTGAGTTTTCTGCTTGGCTCAGAAGCTGAGTGAGTTCAGACGTTAGGCTGGCAAGGTCCCTGGGTGGCACAAACGGTTCGCACTCGGCTGGTAACCAAAAGGTTGGCAGTTTGAACCCACCCAGCAGCGCCATGGAAGAAACAGGCCTGTAAGGACTACAGCCAGTTCGACTCTTAAAACACATGGAGTCTCTCCAAAGGAACACCTTAACACAACAAAAACAACAAAAGAAGTAATGCTGAAGCCGACCAGACATGTCTAGACTAAAACTTAAAGCGTTCTGGTCTTTCTGATGGTTTTGGCATCTTTGAACATTTAAAAAATCCTTAATCTGACAGAGACGGGAGGAATCCCTGAAACTATGGCCCCTGGGTACTCTTCTAACTCAGACTGGAAGCCACTTCCTGAAGTTCACCTTTCAGCCAAAGATAGGCAGGCCTATAAGACAAACAACACATATGAAGAACGTGCTTCTTAGATCGATAAATTATATGAGATCAAACGGGCAACACCTACCCAGGAACAAAGATGAGAAGGCAGGAGGGGACAGGAAAACTGGACGAATGGACACGGTGAACTTGAGGTGGGAAGGGAAAGGGGGCGAGTGCTGACACAATGCGAGATTGCAGCCGATGCCGTGAAACAATTTGTGTATAAATTTTTGGATGAGAAACTCATTCGCTCTGTAAACTTTCACCTAAATCAACAAAAAATAAAAATGGTGAGAGAAAAAGGAGAAGGTCACAGTTGTCACCTAAACTATAAATACATTTCTGGTCTCTGTTTTTTAAACAAAACTTGAATCATCATGTTTGTACACTTTTAAATTTTATTCTTTTCACTCAGAGTTGTTGTCTGAGAAGTAGTGTTTTGATAGGAGGGTGCAGGACTTTATTCAGGTAAAAAGGTCCTGTCTCCTTGCAGGAGAAGGTGGGGTTGAGGGACAGACTAGTGCTCTCCTGTCTGGAAGTGGTTACCATTTTATAACGTCTCTTCATCTGGGCCTCTACCCAGGGGCTGCTCATGCCAAGCTGGCCCATTGTGGCCTCCCTTTGGAGTCCCTGGGTACTCTCAGAGAGGAGTTGATGCCAAGGGATACTGAGCGGGTGTTCTTGAACATTACATCAAAGGTAGAAAAACAAAAGAAAAAACAGTTGCTGTTGAGTTGACTCTGACTCATGGTGACCCCACGTGTATCATAGTAGAACTATGGGTTTTTAGTGGCTGATTTTTCAGAGGTGGATTGCCAGGCCTTTCTTCAAAGGTATCTCTGGGTGAACTCAGACCTCCAGCCTTTTGGTTAGCAACTGAGCATGTTAACTGTTTGCATTACCCAGGGACTCCAAAGATATTCAAGGCTTAATTTTATAGGAGAGGGGCAGGACAGATGTCTGTACTGAGCTGAGTTGGCTGTACCGAATAACTGTTTCTCTCCCTCTCGCTCACAGAGCTCTCTCGCAGAGACCCTGGACAGCACTGGCAGTTTAGACCCCCAGAGATCGGACATGATTTACACCATAGAAGATGTTCCTCCCTGGTACTTGTGTATATTCCTGGGGTTACAGGTATGGTGCTCGAATAGTCTACCGTCCATTTGGTTTAATTCAACTTTGATTTTTATTTTTTGGAGACTTTATTATAAATTGCTATTTTAAGAATGATGAATGGGAATGATTAACATCAGTTTTCCAATAGCAGGAGGAAGAAAAGAACAGGAGGAGTAGGTTAATGGGGGAGCAAAAAAAGAAAAATGTTCAGGGAATAAATAGGAGAAGTTGGAGGAGAGCTTCTCTAGGATAGAAGAGGAAGGAGAGAAGAGGAGAGCTGTAGGAAGAAGAGAAGAAGGAAGAGGAGGCACAGAATGGGTAGTTTCCATCTCCCATGCCTGGCCTAGTTAACCAAGCAATACATGTATTTATTGAATCCCATCCGCAATCATGCAGAGCTCTGCCGTATAATGTGGGTGGCAGTGAAAAGTGCTGTGTTAGCCAGAATATAAATAGGAGGTTTTAGTTTTTTTTTTTTTTTAAAAGGGAGAGTATAAATGGGAAGTTTTAGTCGTACTTTTTAAAGGAAGGGAACTTTGCTGTGGTGGTGGCTGCTTTCTCTGCTGCAGCTTCCAGCGGGAGCCAAGCAGGAACCCTGTGAGGAAGAGGATGGGGGAGCTGGAGGGACAGGCAGAGGTGACATAGCTGGGGCAGGCCTGTTTCTGGTACTCCGCTTCGTCTCTCCCTGCAGCCCTTCCCCTCCCACAGGATTGCAGTGGGGCTTTTGGAGAAACGGAGCAAGACGCTTGGCTCTTTTCCCAGATGCACACCTCTGGCTGTCTTGGCTTTGTTCGTTTTAGCTTGGATTCTGGTCTGAGGTCTGACTTTCCCGTTCTTCATTTCTCAAGTTTGAGTGATCACCTGACCCTAAGGTATTGCAGAGGCTCAAAGTCAGTCATTGCCTAGACGTGGCTGAGACAGGCTGATTCACTTGGAAGTGTGGCTCTGTCTGCGACAGCCGATGCTTTGGTTGAATTTCCTGCCCCTTCTCTGTTGACATCAAAGTACTTGGTAACCTGGACTGGAAGGTGTCTAGTAGGGGAGGAGTCAGAGCTAAAGCAGCCATGCAGCCTGGCTGAGTATCCTGACCCATGTTCAGAAAGTATACTTTTTAGATGCTTATATTATAGATGTTTCTGGGAAAAGTCTTCTCTGGTCAAATAGATTGGGAAATCCTGCAAGGGTCATGTCTTTCTTGATGATAACCATGTACATTAACTTGTGAGCAGCTCTCAGAAGTGCTGACCAGGAACATTCTGAGCCCCATGAGATACCCATTAGTGTTGACATCAGTTGGGCTTCATGGGCTGCAAGCAACACATTTTGACAGCAACAGGGAGCTATTGGGAAGAAAGGTGGGAAGTTTGCAGAACATAGGAACTGAACAACCAGGCTTCTGGCAGGGTAGCAGTGACTGCCAGGACCATCCTACCAGGGCTACAAGGAATGCGGGGAGGGAGGTCCCCATGGGAAAAGAGGGATGAGGTTCTTTCTGGAGGATTCCCACAGCCACTGTTTCCCCTTCACCCCTCCCTGATTGGAACAGACAAATTCCGTGTTTATGAAACAATCCCAGACCATAGAAAAAGACGGAAAAACTCATAGAATGAAACTAGTGTAACTTTAATCCCCAGACCTGAAAGTATTTTTTTTTTTTTTTTAAATTCCTTTGGGAATAATATAGATGCCAAATTCTACATAAAATGTTAGCAAATCAAATCCTAGAAGAAAAGCACAGCATGACTGTAGGGTTTGGTTCAGGAGTGCAAGAATAGCTTGGTGCAGCACCATTCATGTTAACAATCAGAGGAGAAAGGCCATATGGTTTTAGCAATTAAAGCTGAAAAAGCATTTGAAAAACAATAAGAAAATATTCCTGGTCAGAATCACATAAGTAAAGCATCACCAGAGCTTGTGTAGAGCACTTCCTTTGTGCTGGCACTGTTCCATGTAACTTTACATTTAATGATTCATTTAAACCTCGTAACAATCGTATAAGGTGAGGAGCTGTTATTATTTCTTTTTTCAGCTAAGGAAGCTGAGGCACACAGAGATCAGGTATCTTGAGTATTTTGCCCAAGGTCACACAACTTGAAAGCAGCAGAATTTGGATTGGGATACAGGCAGCCTTAACTCCAGAACTCCTATTTTTAACTATTACATTGTCGTGTTCTCTTAGAGACGGACAGAAGCTAAACACTAACCAGTTGCCATCAAGTCAGTTCCGACTCATGGCGACTTCATGTGTATCTGTGTGTCAGAGTAGAACTGTGCTCCTTATGGTTTTCAGTGGCTGATTTTTCTGAAGTAGATCACTGGGACTTTCTTCTGAGGCGCCTCTGAGTAGACTTGAACCTCCAGCCTTTTGGTTAGCAGCCAACTGTGCTAACTGCTTGCACCGCCCGGGTGTTCCTAAACACTATGAAGATTGCCAAAGCACGCAGTAAAGAGCTTCTTAGTAGACTGTTTAAGCCTTTGCCACTAAGACCGAGGCAAGAAGGAATGCTGCTTGTTCGCCCGTATTATCCAGTTCTGTTTTAGAAACTTTATTGTATAATAAGGCAAGAAAATATAATGAAGAGGAGAAATGCTGAAAAGGAAGAAAAAGTACACAATTTGGCTACCTAGAAGAGAGCTGCTTCATGTAGGCTATGTTTTAAAGACTGTGGGGGAGCAAAGTGAGGATAAAGCCAGAAACGCTGAGGGAAGGTTCGTTTACTCTCCCCCGACTTTCCTTTTGCCCACAGCACTACTTGACCTGCTTCAGTGGCACAATCGCGGTGCCTTTCCTGCTGGCTGATGCCATGTGTGTGGGGTATGACCAGTGGGCCACCAGCCAGCTCATCGGGACCATCTTCTTCTGCGTGGGAATCACAACCTTGTTACAGACAACATTTGGATGCAGGTGAGATTGGGGTACTCATTTGGGGTGCTAAACCACCACCAGGCATTGAGTAGTGCTCAGCTCACAGATGCTGTACTCCTGGGGCTGCTTGGAAGGCCTGACAAGAATGTGTGTGGGGAGGCTCCTAGTGGCTACTCTCTCTCCCTTCCCCGTGTTTCCTCTCTTGGTGAATGGCACCACCCCTGCCCTGCTGTGTCAGCTAGACACTGAGATTCCCTCTCAACTCCTTCTATCCCACCAGCTGTCAGGTCACATTGCCTCCACGTCTCTTTCCAGCCCCTAGTGCCACCCCTGCTCTGTTAATTCAGACCTGGACCTTGCCACCAGGGTCCCAGTTGGCTTCCCTGCCTCCAGGGCTCCTTTCTTGATCCCCCACTGTGTACTTCCCCTATGGCCATCTTGCCTCGGCACTGGCCAGGCTACAGCTCTGCTCCCTGTTTAAAGACCAGGATGCTCCCATTGTTTATTCTGTCCCCCTGCTGTCTGTCTTGCCTACCTCCCACCATGCCTCTGAGCCTGTCCTCCACCTTCCCTGCACCCACCCCTGAGCTGAGCTCCCCCTGAGCGTGCCTTCGGCTCCACCCTCTATGCTTCTACTTTCCCCCCACCTGGTAAACTCCTGCTCATCCTTCCTGTCTGTGAAGCCTTCGCTGTCCTCTCCCCTGGGTCCCGTGCATGCCTTCTTCTAATGTGGCTCTTACTCCCATTTGTCACCATTTTGTTTTGTGTCTTTTTCTCCCCCTGGATCGTGCTCTCCCCTGGATGCCAGCGTTTTGGCTTGTTCCTCCTTGTACGCTGAGCCCCCAGCTTAAATGGGTGTGGGGCCACAGAGGCAAGAGTAGAAGCGTCCTTCCTCCTCCCACACGCTCGCCTTTCCTTCTCCTTTCCCATCTTCTACCCTCTTTCCAGGCAGCCTCTTCCTTTACCCCAGGGCTCTACCCTGGGTTGAGGCCGCCGTGACAGATCTGTGCTCGGGAAGGGCAACAGAATCAACTTGTGAGTGGGTCTCTCGCTCCGTCTGGGGCAATCCGAGTGAGGCGTTGCCTTCCTTGCTCGGGGAAGTGGAGACGAGGGAGACAGTGCAGAATACAGTCTTTGAAATCATGGACTGTGTTTTAATGAGTCAAAATCCTCAGCTACCTCAAAAAGGATTATTCATATTTTGGGGAACAGAACACTGGGAGATCCGTGAACAGTGTTGGGGTGTGTGGTTGGCAGTGTAGGCAGCATCATAGGGAGGAAGGTCACTCACAGGCCTGCTGATGGAAAGAAGCCCTGTGGACCAGAGGCCACGGGGACCGGCAGGCTCCTGGCCCCTGAAGTGCTCACACCCTGGCCCCCGCTAGGCTGCCTGCAACACCACAGCCGAGCAGGCCCCTGGCCTCAGAAGGGAGGAGCAGCCCTCGTCTGACCGTTAGGGTGGCGGGGGTGGCGTTGACCTGCCAGTGGAAGGAGGTGTGTTCCAAGGAGGCCTCGGTTTGCTTTCTCAGAGCCAAGTAAAGTTGGCAGTTGGCATCTCTTGCTCCTTTGATGTGACGTCCAAGGTTCTGTATTGCGAGTCTAGAGTGGATTAAAAAGCTTTTGTTGGCTGACTCAGGAGACTTACCTTCTGGTAGAGACAACCCATTTGTGAATCTGGGCAGTGGCTATAGTTGTGAAAAGTGTTTGATCTGAAGAGGGAATGAAATTTGTCTTTATTGCTGTGAAATATGCATTGTATGCGGCCCTGCCCTGGTCTCAGCTCAGACCACAGGCCACTGAGCTGAACCGAGGCAGTGGTGACCTCGTTGCCCAAGGGTGACATGGCAGGGAGGGTTTGGGAACTTTTGGTGAGTGCTTTAGGTCACAGGAGGGTACCCATTCAGGACCCTCTTGCCAATTGTTGGGGCACAAGACCTGATAGAAAAACTCAGGCCAGTGCAGCTTACCCCGCTTCCCCCTGCGTAAGAGCAGCTGAGCTGAGGAGGAGCAGGAGCAGGATCGGACACGCCTCACGGGATGGCTCAGGGACCCGAAGTGTAGAGCTGTGGCTGCCTTGAGTGTGTGACGGGTGTGCATGTGTGCATGCACCTTCATGTATGCGTGTGTATGCTCTTTGCCCAGGAGGCTCGGTGAAAGCAGCGTTCCATGCTCTGGTCTGTGGGAGGTGTTAGGAAAGCTCCACCCATATCCTTTTAGTGGTGGTGTGAGGAGCAGTGGGCCCCACCCCTCACTTCTGTCCATAATGTAGCCATTTTCTTAGTTGTGAGGAGGCGGGTGCCACGTCTAATAACCACGTCATTACACGTGTGCCGCTGCGGTTGGCTCTCGAGGGATGAGGTGGAGGCCGATGAACTTTGGTGTGTGGTTTATCTCGGGATATGGGTTTTCTGTGGTGTCCATACTCTTAACTTGGGGCGAAGGAATAACAGCAGACTAGCTCAGCCTCACACATATTTACAGAATTGTCTGTGTATCAAGTGCCAGGTGAAGAGGACCTGGTGTGGTGGTGCACAGGGGTGATGGCAGAGTGAGCACACGCTGCACAGTGTAGAGGCCAGGGCCATCAGGATGCCATGCTGGTTTCCTGCCGGGGACTTGAGGGGAGGCCCTGGAGGAGATGGCCAGTCTCTTCGTTCTGGCTGATTTTGGGGATGTCAGTCACAGCTGCCTCTCGAGCTTGTTCCGGGAATTAGCGCAAAGCCTTTACAGTCCTTAAAGATCAGAGTGGGGTTATTCCAGATCCCCCGACCCTGATGCTGTGCCAACCTGTGTCATCCCGGAGCAGTCACACTGCCTTGGTTGCACAGAGAGCTTCCTGCCTGATGCGTCACCTTGGCTGCTGGTGGGCATTTCCAACAGAGACTGCGTCTTCCTGACCTCCATGCTCTCAGGGTCCCTGCAGTCGGCCATGTGACCCCGGATGTCATCCAGGGTTGGGTGTGGAGGAGGGCCCTCTAGGACCTTCCCAGCGGTGTGACAGGAGGAGAGTCCCACTGTGCTTGGGGGGCTACTTCCAGCCTTTTGCCCAGGCGCCTCTGGGAGTCATCACTCTGACCTCTGCAGTGGGGGTGGCCCCTCCCTGAAAAGCATCTCCTGCCATTCAGAGGCCTGCTGTATGCACACAGGACCTTCTTGTGCTAAGAAAAGGTAGGGTTTTGGCCAAGAGAGCCTGTCTAGCCTGGTCCATGCACCTGGTCTCTCTAACCAGGTTGCTGCTCTGAGCATGAGAGAGCGCCGCTGTCTTCTACCTCCTTGGGTTCTCGGGGCCTGTAAGGAGACCTTGTATGTACTGTGTGCCCACTGATTACAGGGGACAGCTCCAGGACATGCCACAGCCTCAAGCCCAGGACTCTGAGCTCACAGTGACTGATAAAACCTAGAAGAACAAGGTGATGTAATTAGGTTTTGAGGAAGGATTGAATTTTTCCCTCAGAGTCTCATTCTCTTCGGTATTTGTATATGGGGTGTATTTGTGTAGTTTTTGGGTTACTTCTGAACAGCTTTAAAAATAAAGTTGCAGAGATCATGATGGTTCAGCCATGAATACTCTCCTAGGAATGAAGACGGTCTCCTGTGTAACCACAGTGCCTTTGATCACACCTCATAAAGTGAACAGTCATCCCATCTGGTAGGCAGTCTTTACTATCAGTTTCCCCGATTGTCACCAAAATGTCTCTTAATGGCTATCCCCCTGGCTATCCCCCCTTCTCCCCGACAGGATCCGGTCAAGTTTATGCATGAAGGTGCTTTGGTTTCTTGTGTCTCTTTGGTTTCTTAGTAATAAACGGTGCCACACCTTTTTTCTCCCCGTATTGTTGCCTTTTAAAGAGGGCAGGACAGTTGTCTGGTTGCGTGTCCCACAGTCTGGATTTGTCTAACTGTGTCCTCATGGTGCTGTTTAGTTAGTTCCGCAATCCCCCTTCCCTGCTGTAAGTGGAGACAGGGCCAGAGGCGTGCTTGATGCAGGGTGAACGCTTCTGCCTAAATGCCTGTGTAGGGGTTGTCGAGCCGGTCACATTCTGTCCTGTTGAGCAAGCACTTCATGGCAGCTTATAGGGTTTTTTCTCCAAATAAGAAAATTACTGCCCATTTAACTCAAAGAGTTTTAAATAGTACATTAAAGTGCTAGACCAGTAAGAACCTGGAGGTCGTGAGCTTGGAAGAGGAAGCGTTGCCAGCTGCAGAGGGGAGCTTTGGGCCCAGAGGCAGCATGAGCTCCCTTCCCTCACGTACTAGCCATGTGACTTTGGGTAAGCTTCCTAGTCTCTCAAAGCCCCACTCCCTCATCTGTAAAATAGGAGTAATAATAACATTGTAGGTGAGCACCAAATGAGGTAGTGCCTGGCACCTGCCCACACTCGCCTGTTAGCATCATTATTGTAATGACTGTTAGCCTGGGAAGAAGGAAGGAAGGAAAGGAGGCATGTAGGTTCTGGCGAGGCAGAGGGAGATGTCATGGGCCAAGACTGGGAAGGCCAGCAGGCAGCATTCCCCCGATGAATGTAGCAGGGGCTGGTGTGCTCCTCAGCCATATTGCCAGCATGCCCTAGCCAGGATGGGCCCCCTGACCCCTGAATTGGTCACAGAGGCCATCAGAAAATAGTAAGGACACCTCATCCAGCTCCTGCCTCTTAGCTGAGAGCATTTGCCAGGGCTGAGACTTCCTGAGTTCGCTCCTTCAGCTCTAGCTTTTCTGGGTGGTCTCTCCCTTCAGTTGATATGTTCTTTTCTCTGTTTGCTGGTATTTCTGATGCTTCAGGGGACTAGGAGATGACTGTGTCCTCCTGTTAGAGTGGGTTTAAGGAATTTAGCTGTCTGCACCTTTTCCCTCTGAAGGTCAGAGCCTGCCAGCTCCCTCGTTCCTCACGGCCTCCTAGATCTCATTGCTAGTCCCTCAGGGCCCCGCTGCTCCTCACCCTCCCCTCTTGGCAGGTGACTGCCCTGGCAGAAGCTCTGCATGGATGGAGCAGTACTACACTTGAGTGGAGAGTAGAGCTTGCCACCAAATACTAGGAGGG